TTATTTAAACAAGTTTTGCTAAAGGTTTGTTTAAGAGCTGTATAGAGAAAACTCTGCGATAGCCTAGTAGCTTCACTGTACGCATTTATGTGAATTCACTCTTCAAAAAGGAAATTGCATTTCACAGTGTTCTCAGTTTTACGGAGTTTTTGAAATTCCGAAAGTTTCTGGTTGAAAAAAACAAAAAAAGCCGTTAAAATCGTTTTCTTTGAAAAACTTTCCGTGTTTTACCGTTCTAACGGTTTTTACATCTCTTCCCGGTGATCACGTTTTTTTATTATTTTTCAACTGAGTTGTGTAGTACCAGTGACCATATTTGGTGAGAACAACAAAAGAAAAAGAAAACATCTTTTGCTTCTTTTGACAAAGTGAGTTAATGTGCGTTAGTTGCACATCAGAAAAAGAATATATATCCTTCTTGTACTTGGTAACAACAACGAAAAACAAGAGAGGAAACAAGAATCATGACTTCTCATTAAAAAAAAATGAGAAAGAGAAAAATGTTACTATATAAGTAAGACTACTAGTAGTAGAACAAACTATTTCAATAGAATTTTTTCATTCATTTCGTTCTTCGTTTAAACGGAGTTGCTGAGTAAGTAACAAAAAGCAATAATCAAAAATATTTCCATACAGGGAAAGAGTACTGAAGGTAGGTAGGTCAAGCTAACTGACGGAGCACTTCCTTCCCGTTAAGTTTAACTTTAGTAACGTTTTTATGAAAAATATCGGTTTTTCAAGCTGTTGAAGTTTTTTTTACTAAATAAAGTGAGAGGATAAGCGATGACCTCGGCCCAAAACAGAATCGGAAAAAAACTATACGGGAAGAATCAGCATTGATATCTGAACAAAATGAGACACGAACGACATCTTTGCGACACTTTGTTGGGCAGTTGTATTGTCTGCAAAAAACCTTCTGTTTTGGACCGCAAAACATCACCAGAAAACCTAAGTTTTTTGTAAACTACCCAACAAAACGTTGCTAAGAAGTCGTTCGTGTTCATTTTGTTCAGACTTTCACGCTCTATCTTCTTCCTACGTATTCAGAATAAGGTTTTGGATTTTCGGAGGTTTTCCAGTAGGTTTCTGGAGAACGAGGTCTCGGTTTAAACCGGGCGCACACATTTTTTGACTTTTTCGTTAATGCCACTGGACAGAGCATCAAAAGTCAGATATACTGGCAAAGTTTGGCGTTGGTGCTCTTTTTCCTTTGAGAGCAAAGTGAAAAACAGTTCGAGGACGGAGGTGATTTTCACGATTTTTCGACGTGATTTTGACTTTTTAGCACTTCAGACATGACAGACAAGGCTTTTGGGAACATATTCTATAAGAGGAGCGATTTCTACATGTCAGTAACTTGTTTTCAAAGTTTCAAATGCATTTCGCTTGAGTCGGTAGGCCAAATTCTCGAGACGATCAAAGACTACCGCCGACGAGAAACGAATTTTTTTCTCACTCAAAATGCATTTTGAAGCGCAGAAAAGACGATATTCATAATCAGCGTAAAATTCTACATCGTCTGATGTGTTTCTCAACGTTCTCAGACACGAAAAGTTTTTCGAGATACCAAGGGAGGGATAAAGAGTCGAAAAATCTCGAAAATGTTTTACGAAAACTGAACAGCACATTTTGTTCAGAATTCAACGCTGATTCTTCCCACATAGTTTTTTTGGATTCTGTTTTGAGCCGAGGTCATCGGTTATTTTCCCATACTCAAGTTCATCACAGCTAATCGTAACGCCTGTCTGAAGCATGGGATGTGGCGGAGGAAAAGCAGTAGCAGTTAGTGAACGGAAGTCCAATAAAGCAACTAACATTTCCCCTCAAGACGTCGTCGTCGTTCAGCTTCAACCACCTCGTCGAACTTTCGATCGTGAACGTGTAAATCTTGAATCGCATCAACTCGTTTGGTGTGATAAAAATGTGAACGATTCAGTAACACTCGTTGAAGCATTGAGAAAAATCGTTGATTACACAAAACTATTTGACAACGTCGAAGCATGTAAACAGTATTTGAATACGACGAGTACAGACACGGTCACATTTCTCGTCTGTTCCGGTGATTGCGGTGAAAAACTCGTTCCACAAATAACAAACCAGCTGAACAACAACATTCGCTCCGTTTACATTTATTGTCAAAATAAAGAGTATCATCAACAATGGTCCAAAAGTTTCCAGAAGATTAGTTGTTCCCTTCGCTTGAAAAGCTGGAAGGGTCTCCAAAACGTCATTGTGGTTTTCTCCTCCTCCTTTTCCAATTTTCCGACCCACTAGTTTTTGTCGATTTTTGCGCGTTTCCGTTTTTTTTCGTGTGAGAACGAGATTCCGATCAGATTTGGTGGTGATAGCTCGCTCACATCGTACTGTTGCCGAGAATCATGCAGAAATACCTGGCTTGAAGTGCGGATGGACGTTTACTGTCGATTTTCAGTTGATGGGAGGGCTCTCCGATGGAGTTTTCTGTTTCGGTTATCTTTCGTGTATGTCGAGAGCAAAAATATATCGGTCAGTTGAAAACGTTGTACGATGATCTGAATATTATCGGCGTCGGACGATTTACAAGACTCAAAATAACTGCCAGTTTGCGGGCTATTCCCTTCGCTTGAAAAGCTGGAAGGGTCTTCAAAACGTCATTGTCGTTTTCTCCTTCTCCTCCTCCTTCTCCAATTTTTTCGATTTAGCAGTCTTTGTCGAATTTTTTCCGAGTGGGATCGAATGACCGATCATACTTTTTGTGTGTGATGGTTGGATTTCAAAGACCTAGCGCTGAGAATCGCTCACACTTGCGGAATCAACAGTGGTAGTAGGCTCTATTCGGGTGCGACCTTCTCCTTTTGCAACTTTCTGGTCGACTGGTCTTGGTCGATTTTCCGATTTCTGCTTTTAGTAATAGGAGGGGAAAGTTTCGGATAAACCTGGGACTTCGACACTGAGACTGTGTGATGATGTTCTCATCGTTGGGAAGTAGTGGTCTAGATTCGCGCGACCTAACATTTCCGATCGCCTACTAACTGGTCCGGCTGTCATCTCCTGCCTACTGTTTCCGTTATATTTTGATCGTTGACCGTTTGAAAAGTTCCGCATAGGGCCTCGGAAAGGAAGCTCAGTCGTATCCGGCCAACACTTATTTCTCTGATTGTCAGATCCGCGAATTAGTAACTGTCTCTCTTTGCATAGAGATCCAAGTAGTTAGCTACCATTGCTATTGTGGTCCACCCGGTACATTTTCGATGTTGTCCTCAGTCCGGTAAATGACGAGCATTTCACCACAAATATTTCAAGCGAAGGGCTCTGAGAATGGTCACATTCTCCTTACTTGTTTCTTTTGATACTTCCTCCTACCAAAAATAGATCGGTGTTTTTAATAAAAAGCTTGTTAGCGTAGACCTGCTATCTAAATGTGAAACTACTCTTTTCATTAGGCACGGATTTTTCGTCCAAAACTGAGCAAGCGTAGGCTTTGAGACACTGAATTTGCCGGACTTTTATGCGAACGATAGAGAATCCTTGAAGAAAGCTCTGGGATACTAAAGGTGAATCAAAGCACAGTTCGCAGACACAGAATTTCATCGAAAGAAAGCTTCTAGATGCGGAATTTGACGGAAACCGAGCGCGAACCACCTAGAACAATGATACCATCTAAGGGCTCCCTCTCCTTCGGCGCGGTATACCACTTACTGAGCGTCACTCTCTTATGGCTTTACGCTAGGTAGCGTCAAGTCTAAGTTTACACTACTCTCTTATTTTGCCAGAGTATGTGTGTGAGGTAGAACGATAGAGTACTGGTCCGCCCAACTGACTGCCAAAAAACGGTAGAGTCCACGAAAAAAGCAGGATATGCCTCCTAAAGCGTGACATCGGTAGATGTTATATGCCACCTAATCTCGGGTAGAAATTTCAACTACTCTCTTATTTTTGATAAGTATGTTATTGAGTAAATTTCACAAAAGTTAAGCTTACTTTGCATTCATTTCAAAACCGAACAGGTCAAAGAAATTCATACTGAGCAGGAGAAATTACTTGTCGCTCTGCAAACCGATGTTGAATCCTGCTTAAAAGAAGAAAAGAAAAACGTTTTAAATGAATCAAACAGAAAAGATCAGAGTATTGATCTCTGGTTACATTCCTGGTGGCCTGAATTTATTGACATACTCTGTTATTTACCCTATCCGTCTCTCATTTGTCGTGAAAGACTCGTCACTACACTAAAAAATTACTACGATGGAAAGAACGAAGAGTTGCGAGTATTTGACGAATTTGAACGTGACTACACTCCCAGTAAAGCTGTTCGTTGGTATACACGTGATACGTTTCTCTATCGAATTCTCAATCGAGCACTTCGTCAACATAACGTTGAAATCGTTTTTCTCTTTGGATTTTTCATTCGAGATTTGTACCGTCAACTGAAAGAAGAATATGAAAAATTCAAAGCTAAAAAAGTAACAACAACCGTCTACCGAGGACAAATCATGTCCTTGGATGAAATTCAAACAATCAAGGCACACTCCCGCTACGGCTTTGCCGTGAACAGTTTCTTTTCAACATCTGACAATCAATCTGTATCCTTAGATTTCCTTCATCGTTCTTCATTGTCAATAACCGATACACCCGGTCTCGCCAAGATAATGATAGAAATTGAATTGGATACAAGACAAAATCGATCTCGTCCGTTTGCTTCCATTTATCATCTAAGTGAATTTTCAAATGAAAATGAATTTCTATTTATGACAGGAATAAATCTAAGACGAGTTAAAGTTTTGTTTAATCAAGAAGACGACGACGATAAAATATATACGATGAAATTAACACTAAAAGATGATCGTACCGTAAAGGATGATGCGGATTTTCAAAACTTGTCGGAAAGAAAACTTTTAAAAAAGTGCACTGATCTGCTGTGTGACTGTATTGATAAAGGTTCGTCGGGAAAAGAAACTGCGGCAGTGATATTTAGTGAACTGATCGATTGGTTTCCTGCAGAAGCCGGATGGCTTAACATAGCAAATCAGTATTGTCTTGACAAACATTATGATCATTACCTTGGACTTGATTCATCAAATGTGTAAGTAAGATACACACAATTCACATCATTCGGAAAGAGAAGCATTTCAAACTGAGTAAAAAAAATCACTTTTTAAAAGCTTTTTTTGGCGGGGAAAAATCTCAAAAACTTTAGAGGTGCAAAATCGCTGTTTTTGAGAAAAATACAAGTAACTATTTTCTTTTAAACTTTGGGCGACGTTAAAAAAGTTATTTTCGAAATCAGCGCTACTAACTGAGTCTAAATACTGTCTTTCAACATTTCCGCCAGGAACAAACTTGAGTTTTTGGCGTCATCAGGTGGCGGACTCGACTCGGTCGAAAAAGCGCCAAAAACTGATTCTGCAAGTCTGTGTAGTTTTTTCTCTGAACAGATGGATCCTCGAATTTAGTGTTGTTCTTTTTTCGAAATTTTTGACACTTTTTTTGCACAGAATCGGCAAAGTCGAAATCGACCGACTTTTCTCAGCCAGTTTTTATCATTGAAACTCAGTGAAATTTCGGATTCACCGATGGAAAAAATGACGCTGAAAAGTTTTACCGAAAAAAACTCAAAAAAGTTGATTTTTCTTACTCTGTTTTTGAAAGTCTTCTTTCCAATATGTATGAATGAACTAAAAAAAACATTGAACTGTGCGCATCTTATAATGTTTAGAGATTACAAGAAAGAAATTGCAGACTATGAAAAATCAATTAAAATGTGGCAGAAATACATTGATGATTATGAGTTAAATTGCTCTGTAAACATTGCTGAAATACATCGAGTCCTCGGTCTTCTGTATCGAAATGACGAGTTAAAGCACAGTAGCTTAGAAAATTGGCACTACGATCAACTGCTCACTTATTATCTCAAAGCTCTTGAAAAGTGCACGACCACCACCTCCGCCGCCGCAAATCCAGCAGAAGTGGCTGACTTGTGCGCTTCTATAGCTTTGGCTTATCAACATCACCAAGACCACGGCGATCAAAGAGCAAACGTATTAGCAGCTATTAAATATCAACAATTACGAATGCAACATCTGTTAAAATACTGTTCGCCGAATGATATGAAAATTGGCAATACGTTTCAACGCTTGGTAACCTGTTACATGACGATCGATCTTTGGGATGAAGCAATAGTTAACTATGAGAAAGCTTTAGATATCTATATCTATCAGAATAATTATAATTACTATGATATGATACATTTATGTGAAGCTATTGTCGGAATCTACACCGAGCAGAAAGGAGAAAATTATGCTGCTGCAATAAAGTATCAATTGCTAAAGCACGAGTTCACAGTAAAGGTACAAAATGAAGTAGTAGAAGACGATGGTGAAGATGAAAATTATTCGAAGAATTTTGGTATTGCTGTGAGTCATGAGGAAGTTGCTGACATGTATATAAAATTAGAGCAGTATGACCTAGCTCGGAAACATCTGATTGAAGCGAAGAAATATTGTGAAAATTGTGATCCGTATCATAAAGAGAGCTCTATTGGGCATTTTGAAGAGAAACTGAGAAGTATAGAACAGTTTTTCACGTGAAATGCTTATCTAGAAGATTCTTCTGTAAAAAAAAATGTTTTATTAGTTTTTCAAAAACAAGCACAGAAAAGATTTTTTTCTGAGAAGCGAGGATTATGTAGAAATGTGTCACTGAAACTGTCTGCGGAATGGCAGATAGACTAGGAACGTAGGTGAAGAAACCACTTCGACAACCCACACGTCGTGCGCAAGTGACAAACACACGCTCAATCTAGCTAGGATGAAAACCAACCACAGATTTGAATCTTACTCACAAGAAACAGTTATTGAGCATTTTATTTCACTAGAGCGCAAAGAAACTGATTACTTTGTAACGGACCTACTTTTTACTATCATCTGCTGCTACACATTTAGCAATACGAATGTGAGTGTACACTTCGTTGGCTGGAAGATGCGACACAAATTTATCACCTTCTCTAGTTGTATCAATGAGGAGGCAGAAGATACTTTTCCGGCCACCGGTGAGTTTACACTGTTGCTCAGGAAAAATCGGACGAATGATGGGAAGTTCTGGCGCACAAGGAAACATCAGTCGAATACGGAACAGAAGGCGAAGGATCAGCTGCAGACATTGTCCCATCGCAAGTCGCCTGTTTAGTAACTGTGTTACTCGTATATGTGGTTTCATTGACGTGAACGGTACGCGTGTATGCTGTACGAACTAAACCGAAAAATCTACATTTCCAGTATTCTCCGTCTGCTAGACTTTGAGCAACTGATACTTTCGATTTTTCGAAAAAAAAATTTCGAAAGTTTTGTTCCTCGTAAATCGAGAGAGCATCAAACTTTGAGCATACACTTGAAACATTTTGGCACAGAGTGAAAACCGGGTTATTGGGTCTCACGTTTAAACCAAGAATCTTACTTTGAAACAGAGCGGTTTTAAAATCTGTGAAGGGACGGAAAAGATAGCCCGTGTTCTGAATTATAAATTCATATTAAAAGATAGTTTTTAAAGTTGGTTTGTATAGGTAAAAAATACTTAATTCTAATCTTGAGGAGAATGATCGATTTGTAGCGCCATCTTTTGCACCCTCTATACCTCGAGAACGAAGCAGTTTTAAGTGACGCTATTTATACCATTATCTACTATCCTCTTTCCTTTTGCTCTATCCAGGTTGTAACCCATAAAATTCTGATCAAAATGAGGCGTGTTCCAGCTTTGTACGTATTCTTTTCAACGAAATACGAGTTTCACAAAATTCTCATAGGAACCTATATTCCCTCGATATAAACAAATTATACCTTTCTCTGAAAATAAATCCTCTTTTGAACTTCTTGACAGGGTACAAACAGATTATAAGAAATCGTCTTTATAGTCTGTGAAATTTTCAATCAGATGAAGTATTGCTTCAATTTATTCGTCGCGTCGTTATTTGAGATTGTCTTGTGCAAGGATAAGATCACTTTTTACATCATAGCATGTTAATGTATTATATAGTTTTTGAGTTGCATGCGGTACAGTTGTTAGTGTTGTGAATATAACTTGAAATAATAACATAAATGCTAATTGTTGACTTTTATTCGTTATTATAACAATTCTAGAT